CTCCAGAACTTTGTAGAGGTGGCACAACAGGGAGATTGGTCTGTAGCTTTTTGGGTCATTGCGGTCTTTGCCTGGCTTCAAGATGGCGATGACTCTTGCTTTCCTCCAGATTTTGGGGATCTGACAGGATGCAGTGCAATTGTTCATCAGCTCCAGCAGCCAGCGCCTTGCTTTTGGACCAAAGTTCTTGATTTGTTCCATTCGTAAATCATCCAGGCCAGGTTCTTTGCCATTTTTACATTTATTGAGAGCCATGTCCAATTCAGTAGATGTAAAAGGTTCATGAAGGTTCTTGTTCTCAATCTCTGGTTGTCTGGCTATTGGTTTCTTTCCTACTTTGGTGACAAAGTTGGGTTTCCCATTCTTCAAGAGCTGGTGTGCTATCTGGTCTGCCTTTATGTTGGCATGGGTATTAGTTTGTGAGAGGTCGTTGCTCAAACGTCTCAGCAGCCTCCACGCCTTCTGGCTGCTCCTGTCCATGTCAACCTCTGTGATCAGCTTGATCCTCTGTTCTTTCTTGGCTTCAGAGATGGAGGACACCATACTCTGCGCTGCCTGAAGGGTTTGCTCACTAAATGGGTCTTCGTTGTGGAGCCTGTAATAGTTTTCCAACAAGGCCACATCCACTGTTTTAGTGTGGTGAGATGTGCTCCACACTGGGCATGCGTACTCAGCAGCAGAATAGCATAGCACAAGGCCCCATTTGTTGTGGTTGGCTCTGCATCTTGTGGTGCCAGAGCGCAGTCTGTTCAGTGCCTTCCAAGTCGCCCAGTTTTCTGTGTGCCCAGGGGGAGTCTCTCATTTGGTATCAGCCATTGATTGAGGTTCTGGGTTTGAGCCTGCCACTTTTGGACTCTCGCTTGCTGAGGTGTTCCAGCGAGTGTCTCTGTAGATCTTAGAAAACTATTTCTTGATTTAAGTCGTTGATGTGCTGGCTGATACCCAAACAAGGGATGAGCTGGAGATGTCTCTGCCTTGGTCCTTTCACTATTGGCTGCAACTTCCCAGCGGATGTCAGGTGGTGCAATACCGCTAAGCAGTGTAATTTCTCCAGTGGTGTAGGGCGCAGACACCCCGTGATAATGCGGCATGTCTCATTAAGAGCCACATCCACTGTTTTAGTGTGGTGAGATGTGTTCCACACTGGGCATGCTTACTCAGCAGCAGAGTAGCACAGCGCAAGGGCAGATGTCTTCACTGTGTCTGGTTGTGATCCCCAGGTTGTGCCAGTCAGCTTTCGTATGATATTGTTTCTAGCACCCACTTTTTGCTTGATGTTCAGGCAGTGCTTCTTGTAGGTCAGAGCACGGTCCAGAGTGACTCCCAGGTATTTGGGTGCGCTGCAATGCTCCAGTGGGATTCCTTCCCAGGTGATCTTCAGAGCTCGGGATGCTTCTCTGTTCTTGAGATGAAAGGCACATGTCTGTGTTTTGGATGGGTTGGGGATCAGCTGGTTTTCCCTGTAATAGGCAGTAAGAGCACCTAGAGCTTCGGAAAGCTTCTGTTCTACCATCTCAAAGCTCCCTGCTTGAGCAGTAATGGCACGATCATCAGCATAGATGAAACTCTCTGTCCCTTCTGGCAGTGGCTGGTCATTTGTGTAGATGTTGAACATGGATGGAGCAAGCACACTCCCCTGAGGCAGGCCGTTCTTCTGTTTCCGCCATCTGCTTCTCTGGCCCTGGAACTCAACAAAAAAGCTCCTGTTTTGTAGCAGGTTTCCTATGAGGCGGGTGAGGTGGTCGTCCTTTGTGATATTAGTTTTCCAACAAGGCCATATCCACTGTTTTAGTGTGGTGAGATGTGCTCCACACTGGGCATGCGTACTCAGCAGCAGAGTAGCATAGCACAAGGGCAGATGTCTTCACTGTGTCTGGTTGTGACCCCCAGGTTGACTAGATATTCTTGTTTGACAGACTAGGATTGGGCTAGATGGTTTTTTTCCTGCATTAATGGCTTTTGTTTTCTCTCCCCATAGGCTGAACAGGCTGGTGTTTTTGAACTCCAGGTCCACTCCTTCACCACCAGCAGCCCCCGAAACCTGTGCCATGGGGTGCGCCCCTGCCGTATCTTCTTCCGCGTCTGCCTCAAACACGCCCAAGCCGTGGTGTCCCCGGAGCCCCCTTGCACCTTCGGGGCAGCCCTGAGCGATATCGTCCCTGCGGACCGCGGTGCGGTGGCCACCAGCACGCCCATCCAGGTCCCCTTCCATTTCAAGTGGCCGGTGAGGTCCTTTCCAGGCGTACAACGTCTCCTAGTTATACCAAAGAGTGGTTAAGCAACCTAGATTTCCTTCCCACCTCTTCTGCTCCTATTCCCTTACTCTGCCTCTTTCCCAACTTGTAATGTGTGTGCAATATGCTCTCGTATGCTTCTCTAAATTTAATTTTCCTTCTGTTTTCTTGCACTTCTTAGAGAGAATGCTTTTCCAAGAACCGCTGGCAAGTGATACGTGTCTCATCTCAATATGAGTAAATATTTTTGTTTCCTTTCAGCACCGCGACTCAGAGATATCCCGAAGATTGCAGTCTACTGCATATTGCCAAGGGAAAATTAGTAATGGTTTCTGACTCTCGGTTGTCTAAATGTAGCAAAATGGACTGAATTGTGTCAAGAAATAAGTAGAAGCCAATGCAGTTTTTTCAGTGCTGATGTTTCCCCGCTCTTGTTCAATATTCATTGAATTCATTCAAGAATGACAATAATAGTAGCTATGTGTTGATTTACATCCTCAATATTGATATACTCTCATCTTCTCTCTCCTTCCCTCCCTTTTAGGGGACATTCTCTCTCATTATTGAATCCTGGAGGGCTGAATCAGGAGAGCCATCGACAGGTAAATAATTCCCCCAGTTGGAAGTATAATATAAATTCAAAATGTTGACTATGCATAATCTCCGCCCATAATGACAACCATGTGAAGTAAACAGATAAGAGGGTGTATGGTATAGAGTAGTGTAATACTTCTCGTATAGGTATTCAATTTATCCACATTTCACATAAGTATACTCTTAACATTGTAAGTGGTACACCTCACACGATTTTACTCCAAACTTGATAAGATTCTCAAGTGTAACCAAGGTTTCAAATTAGGTATTTATTTATCGTGTCATCAGCAACCATTGTATTACAATTCTAACAGAGCAAAACAAACACACAGATTA